TCACATTTAAGTCAGGTTTTCAGTTGCAAGAGGGAGGGAAGGGGAGAGGGTTCCGGATGAGGAAGAGATTCCTGTGGAGATGAAGTCTTCTGGGTCTGGAGGAAGCAGCAGCTTGACGTGGGGAGAGCTGGGGGTGTAGGAATGACAGTCTGGGGAGCGAAGGTCGCAGGTGGCCATGCACCTGGTCTGGGGGACTGGGGGTTACGGCATCCGTCAGATTCCAGTTCTGGGTGTCCTGCCCCTGAAAACGGCACCTTTGCAGAGTGAGGAGAGGAAAGACAGGAGATTTCTCAGCTAACGACACTCACAGTGGCAGTTCCTCACGACGAGGGCGGGGCCCTAGCTGCTCTGTCCTCCGGGCACCACCGGCTCCCCGCCCAGGGCCGGGCCCACGCGTGCCTGGCTGAGTGACCCGAGGAGGGGCACCAGTCACTCATCACGGTGTGTCTTGCAGGGCAGTACATCCCCCAGTGTGACGAGGACGGTTACTACAAGCCCAGGCAGTGCCGCGGCGGCGCTGGGCCGTGCTTGTGTGTGGACAGATACGGAAACGAGGTGGCGGGCGCAGACTGTGGTAAGAAGGGGGTCCTCCCTCAACACGCTCTCCACACTCACTAGAACTCTGTGCAGACATGGGACATCGGGGGGCGGGTGACAAAGACTGGCTCCTAGCACACTAAAACCTCGTATGAATAAGAAATAGGACCGCATAATTTAGATGGTTTAAGAAGAGCTACAAGGTGGGCCCCTTTGCTATTTTAGATACAGAAAGTACGTCAATGCCTCACCTGTTCTTCTGGGTGGGGAGGGCAGACTGCTCCGGGCCACCCGTGTCCCCACCCAGCACCTCCTGTCTGTGTGCCCTGGAGATGTTCACTAAGGGGGCAGAGGCTCACCCATGAAAGAAAAACGAACCTTTTTAAAGTAAAGGTCCATAAATTGTAGGTTTGTGGCCATCTTTCCTTATGTTTGGGGGAGAAAATACACTTTTAATTGCTTGAAGGGTAATTATAATTAATATTTTAATTGTTTTTCTATGCATGCATTTTACACATATACCTAAAAAGTAGTATT